AAAACCCACTGGAGATCATGCAGGTGTGTGTACTGAGACCCTTACCAATTTCAGAGACATGGACACTGGATTCCTCAACATCAAAAGAAATCTGTCATTCTAATGTTACACAAAACAACCACAAAAGTTTTAAACAACACAAATATGTCCCCCCTCCCTCTGTCAGACTGATAGCTCAGCAACTTGTCTGTTAAATCTTAAATGGGAACTAGTATAGCTCCCATTGCAATAGTTTCTGAAGAGTTCACAATATTTCATGCATCATCTTGGCAGGCCTGTAAGAGTGGTTGACAAATACTGACATTTTTTACAGTTTTTCAATTGCTATCACTACATTTCATTTAAAAACTAGCATTTAGTGAGTTCCTGAAAAATACACAAAATCTGTGACAAAAAGAAGAAAAAAATTGCTCCAATTTTCCCAAAGCCCATGCTTTCTTCTTAACCTATGAACTTTTCTTCTGTTACAGAAGGAAATATGTTCCTTCTTTACATCAACAACACCTTCCCCCACTGGAGCTAAAAAGAGCTCAATTGCCTTCTTAAATGCAATCTAAAGTTCCGAAGTATAAAGAGGTAAAGGATAAGAAAAAAAAAATATCTTTTTATTCAAAACAGAAAATAAAATATATAAAAATCTTCCCATTTGCATGTCATTTAACATGCATACTATTTTAGGATTCCACTCTCATATTCTTCATTGTTCTTACTGTAGAACCAAATAGCATTACCACAGATTAGGACTCAATTGTCACTCTATATACTTATAATTTAAATTCCTATATAAATATCCATGTAGTAATCCAGATTTCAAAGCTGAGAGGTAAGACTATCTCAGCAGTATGAGAAGTGTTCACTGTAGCTCAAAAAAAATAGATACCTTTACATTGTTATGTCCAAATTGTGAGATCTAAGAAGGGGTTTAACAAAGGCAAAAACCGCTAAGAAATTATAGCTCAAGTTTGACTTGAAATCTGAAACTTATATGATTTGCCACGAGTAAGAGGTTCTTTCCTGAAGTGTTGTGTAAAGATGGAAGACTATAACAAATCCAGAAATACACAGTGATTTGATCTACAAAATGTTATGGGTTGTAGAATGACCTCATAAAATAGATTTTTTTTCATTGTGCTATTTCAATGAGGCAAGGTTTTAAACTATTGATTCATACAAGATATAATCAATTAACACTTTTCTGCTGTTTATCTCATGAACCAGAAGAATTTAATGTTTATTTTGGTTCAAATTATTTATTGAATGTTTATTCTGTTTACATTATGTCAATTTGTCATTACATGATGACTTAGAGGGAACTTAAGATTTCAGAATTTGCTGTGTAGCGCAACTATGAAAATACAACCATCACAAATAATTTTATTTTTCCTATCAAACTTTCCACTTCATTATGTCTTTCTCCAAAACTTTACTGTTTCCATTACCTGGTTGAATTTCCCCTGGTACAATTTCACTCAAGGAAATAGTAAAATGGACATCAGTGTCTGTGTCATAATCAAACCATTTCAGACGAATAAAAATTTTGCATGGAAAAGACTTACTTTAGTAATGGTTTAACAAGACATGGTTTTTCCTAGCAGTTAATAATTTAAATGCAGTTAAACATTATCCTTTAAATCAATCTACTGTTGATTTATTGATGACAAATTAGTTTGGTAGAAAATGCATCTATATGAAAAATACAGTAAAAAACTACTAGCATTTAAGTGCAGTTTGTCATGCAAGCATTAAAGATAGTATTATTATAACATCATACAAGTTCTATTAGGAGAAATAAGAGATATAATTTTTATTGAACTACAGTCCTGTTCTCTTGGGCATTTACTGATCACGAAAAGTGCAACATTCTCTCTTGAAATTCAAGTACTTTTTTTTTTTTTTTCTGAACTGTTTCTTTAACATATAACAACTTTTCTGGCTCTCTGGTTAAAAAGTAAAACAAAAAATGTCAATAGCATCATCAACGGGGTAAAAATATTAAGGCCTTTTTTTGAAAATGATTCAGGTGCAGATATTGAACTGTACTTTTTCATCCTTTGTCTCACTTTTCAAATGATAATTTCTTCCACAGCCACCATTAAATCTTGATCTATTCCAGCTCTCTGTATGGGTCATTGATTCTAGATGTACCATGGTTATTTTTAAATGTTTCCCTTTCGTAGAGAAAAAGAGGGCTGTCTAGAGCCAGATGGGTAACTTCACACTTCATTTATCAAACCCAATGCATCAGACTCCACCCTCTCTTTCCCACTATTGCTGTTAAATTTCCATATAATTTGGTAACAACTTTCATTATCATACAGTGACCCTAAAAAGCCTATACAGGTTTGCATGGTTACTCCAAAACTCACAGCTGTTCCCTCTACCCTCTGTTTGTTACAGTAGAATCTAAGGTTCCCCTTACTTTATAAGCTGAACAGTGACCTTCTATAAGCAGAGGTCAAGAAGGGGTCAGTTCAAAGGGCTAGAGCAGCTCTTTAACAGCTATAACAACCTGTCCATCAGGCACTATCATGCAGTATAAACAAATCTGGGGCTTTAGAAACTCTGGACCATTTCTATTAACACTTAGAGGACATTCACTGAGTCCTACCTGAAGTATTTTGGATCACTACCACTCAACAGAGAACAACTTGAATCCCTAGAAGACCTGCTCAGATACTTAAGATACTGGTGACATCTTTGAGTCAAAAGTATATGAAACGGGGAGCCATAACACTAAGTGCACTACCATGTATTTTGGACCACGGAGCTGAAATAAAAACTTAAAGAGTAATTTCAGTTCATTAATATGCAGAAGTACTAGCACAACTTAAAGCAAATAATGCAAGGATATGCTTTAACCAAGTAGATACATATCAAAACAGTTCTTATGCCTTTATCTGAGAAAGGCTAAATTTCTAAAACTCGAATCAGTTTGTAGTAACAGTTACCAGTATGTATTCTTTTTTTTAAGGTGTCAATGACACAAATAAAACCCATGAAAGAATAGACTGCCTACATTACTCTACAAAGACCAAGCACAGAGTAAAGTTTTTGCCAGCTGCCCTCCCTTCATTGACCTAAATTTCTTGAAGTTGTACTGTTCATAATGTGCTCTCTAATGCACAATGTAAGGTAATTAGAGTAATCTGTATTTAACTTCCAGAGGAAAAAAAATTCTATTATCTAATCTAGCTGATCCCCTGATAGCCTGTTGAAAGTAAAATACTGTAACCTATTGCCTGCCCTTTGACAAGTGCTAATTATTTCCTGTCCAAGCACATTTTTCTCATGTAATTCCAAAGTACACAATAGACTGATCTCTAAAACATGGGCAGCCCTGCTAGTACCACGGTGGACGTTTTACAACTTTCACCACCGTATGCTTGATGGCTACCACAGTCAGTGCTTCATTCCAGACATCTAGCTGAAGCTTTGATGAAGTAAAGTGTGGTGTATGGTAACAGTCTGTTTATGCAGATCATATGGATGAGACTCTCAGATAGGTCACTGGAATGGGAAACATCAAATGGAAAGGAAAAGGATTATGGATATTTAATACTCACAGAACACTTTCTTTCAGAACTTTCAAGACACAATGCTCCTGAAATTTTCTTTCAGGTGTTTAGTTTTAAGAAGGCCTGCACTTTGTCTGCCTGTGCCTCTCCCCACCCCCACCCAAGAACTTTAGCTTTTCTGTGCCAGGGACTAGACCATGTCTACAACCGCAGCACTGGCTCCAGCCTCCGACTGCACCGTGAGCAGAGGCCAGAAGCACTGTAACCCACATCACTTTTAAATGAGTCCCGATTGCCATGATTCCTGATGACCTCGTGTATTAGAAAACTGTTGTTACGCTAAACAAACACTAAAAAGATATTCCACTCATTAGTTTAGACCAGTTTAGAAACTCAAAGTTATGAAACAGACTCTAATTTGTATAATAATTGCTACTATGCAATAACAAAACACAGGAGAACTCCCTTAACTGGAACATTTAGTGAAGGTAAAAAAATCGTGCCAATTAACTGCTAATTTTGATTAACAAAATCTCATTTAAAAACTACTTTTGCCTTAAAACTGTATTCAATTGCAAGCACAGGACATCTTGTTTTAAAGGAAATCAGTGCGTTTGGTAGAAAAATTTCAGACTTAGATATTTTATGCAAATACCGTAAGAAAAAAATAAGATTATTAAATGAGTATAAATCCATAGCTTTTAGAAATAGATGTGAAAAAAGGAGACATCAACACATTTAGTGGCTAAAGAGAAGGACACAAGGTGGCATATGGTGGAAATTATCTTTTTTGAATTCACATATTTCTGAATGAACTAGAAGTATGACGTATCTGTAGTTTCTGAATGCATTAATCCGACTACATTCCGGTAACATAAACTTTTTCAAATAAAAACATAAACAACTTTTAAGAATTTTTAAGAACATCACCTGATTTATTACCATGGCAATGAGTTCAATTTAAGAACTCAAGTATAGCAAAACAGTCACATGATACAAAGCCTAGCAAAATGTACATTTATGTCCATCTCACCCAACACAAACCAGTCAACACTGGTAGGATACCACAAGAAAAAGTGAGGATCATGAAGAAAGCAGACAAGAAGGGTATCTATTAGCATGGCGTGCCAGCAAGGAATATTGCTCATATTGTTAGCAATATAAGGAAAACCTTAGGGCACTTAAGGTGATACCAATCCTCAAATCTATGTGCTGCCTATCAAGCTATTATCAATAGACGGCACTGTGCAAGCACAGCAAGGGAGCATTCTATCACACAAAGTAACTCTGAAATCAGCAGAAACTGACTATTCCATTCAAGGACAAATACTATTTGAATAGTAAAAATTTTGGGTTTGTTTGTTTGTTTGTTTTTTAAATGTCAGCTTGCCCACCTGCCCCACTATACTCCCCAGTTTTATAGGAGTATATGTTATATACTTGTTTCTAATTTCGTTATCTTATTATTTTTCAAAAATTCCTCACCTTGCTGTCCATTCTTTACGCAGCTTTTGTCGCTCACTAAGAACTCGCAAGAAGCATCTGACGGTTTCATTCCTTTGTTCCTCAATTTGTTCCTCTTTTCCAACTTCAGAGAGGACCAGGCTTGTCTGAAAGGGAAAAAATACATAAAAATTATAATCTAGAAATAGGAAACAATGTGTAAAATTAATAAAAAGCCCATAAGCAAATAAGGACAGTAAATCAATAGCTATTTTTATTACAGTTCCACTGCTGACAAATCAATACAGTAAATGATGGTTAGAAATGGCCACTATATATTTGGTATTTAATCAATATACATGGCACATAAGGTAAAATTTAAAATCGCATTGCCTTAAGGAACACAACAAGACATTGTGCATTCTAGCTCTCATTTTCTTGAGACATAATTCTTTTCTTTTCTAAATATTTTCTTGTATCAAATCATATCATAAATGCTTCCCTCAATACAGCATTCGTTTAGGGGATCTGCCCATCCCCTTTGATACTTGGTGAAGCTAAAGAAGAAAATACCTGTTTGTATTGTATCTTCTGAAGGGAATTTCTGATGTCCCCATGTTCTCTTTATCATGAAATATTTCAAGTAAACAACTAGTAAAACTCTTTTCATTTATGGAACAAATTAAAAACTGTGAAAATATACATACATGCAATGGATTTAAGTCATCTGTGGAGTAGAATGACACTAAGTTGCTGCAGACCAAAAGCTACTCCCAAATGTGGTGTCAAGTATCAATCTTGATACAATAAAACTACGAACCTTCTTATCCTCCTTCATCCACCCAGCAAGCTAACTCCAACTCCCTTGCTCCATCTTTCCCTTCAACTACTAAATTCACCCACCATTTTCTCCTCTTCTTTCCTCAAAGCTCCCTCATGTCTGCCAACTTGGAAAAGAAACAGCACATGCTGATGCTCATGCTAATAACACGTATGTCAACTAGTGCACATCTGCTGACTTGATGTGCAGCAGTCCAACCACACTAGAGATTGGTGCTGCAGTCTTTTCCTCCATTGAACGTATTATATTTGTCTTCCTCTCCTTAACCAGCCATAGATATTCACTTACATGTTTTTGCTATTTTAACAGTCAGTCACATGTTCTGCAAATGTATCAAAGTACCTGAAAGCTTTTGGGAAGACTGACTGAATGGACAGAATGCTTGCACAAACCTAGTTTTTTCCACAGAAAAGGAGGCAAAAATTATGTTTCTAACCTGAGCAGTTGTGGAAGTGAGTTTGAAAACACAACTCAAACATCACCGAGAGTTGCAATTCCTACTCCCAGCATGGCCTCTCTTACAGGAACATGACAAAAGACATGGCATATTGCCTCCTCCTCAGCATTGCGTACACATTGCATTCTGCCCTGGCCAAATGTACACCCACTAAAATTCCTTGGGGGATTCTATGAGAAAAACAGTTGTTATTATCTTCAGTTTGTGAAAACAGGAAGATCTATCCTTGGTCTGACAGGATTTTGTTTTTTTGTTTTTGTTTTTTTTTCTTTTTTTTGTTCCCCCCCCTTAAAGAAATAATAATATGCAGATTATATACTTCTTAAGCTATGTAAAGTAGTGGTAACATTGCTAGCACCACAGTGGCTCCAAAAGACAAACATGACAGGGTTCATAGAGACAGAAAATAATTTGATTACACTAACATCAGATGACAAAGAGCAAAAAAGCATCTTCCTCTCTACCTCCCAGCTCTATCAGTTAGCCTACCAAAAGGCATTACCCTGTCATATGGGACTTACACATCAAAAAGAACATTTCCTTGTAAAAACCCAAAATGTTCAAAACTCTGTCTATACAGATCACATTCTTGACCCTGCTTTGACATTACAAAGCAAACAAAAAGCCAGAGAGCATTTTCAGATAAGGATTCCCTGACACAAGCTTCCCTTGCACTGACCTACAACATCTTTTCCACAAGCTCTAATATCGGCCAACTTCAACAAACGCAATCTTACAGCCTCACTTCCAGCAGCTGCACAGTTTAAAGCAGGGTTTGATAGAGGACTTCAGCATGAGAACATACTCACATGAGATGAAGAGATGTGCGTTCTTTAATTGATGTAAATTAACACTATTGTCATTCAGAATAAAGAAAACTATTAAGGCTTTAACTTTTATATGTACCATGTGTGAGGCTTGCCACAGCACTATAACCAAAGCTTATCTCTTTATTATGGGATGCTCACACTGTAGCCATACAACTAGGTCACAGTACACCAAGATTTCCCTTTCAGAATCTTTAGATGGACTTATTAATCACAAGGGCATAGGGAAATACAGTGGTGATGGAACAGAAGCCTACTTCTCTCCAAGACTGAAGAAAAGCCCCATGTTTAATGATGCTATGCCTCCCAAAGTTGAAAGTTTAGTTATTTGCATGCAACAAATGTCAAGATTCCCTAAATAAGTGATTCCCAACGCACAAAGCATGGAGAACTGATAGTTCCTAAAGAATTTTCCACTAAAATGTGATGAAAAGATGATCTGATTAGAGTATTCAGTCAAAGAAGATGGGTGACCACTTCTCCAAGTATTCAGAATCCCATAATGCTGTTGTATGAATTCTGATGACCTGGCAAAATTGCAACTTTGGTACTAAGACCGACTACCTAAAGTCCCCTCCATCTAGGGAACATCATAATTCTGGAAATTGAACAAAATCTAATTTTTACTGAGAGAACAATTATATTGCTCTAGCCTTCTGTTAACACACTTCATTTATGTGGTGATGTACAAAGTTCAAGTCAAACTCATAGTTTGATGCTGACATCATAAAGGCTTCTTTACTGAGCCCTGTGAGTACAGTTGCAGCTACCTGGAGGGTGAAATAATACTATAAAGCAACATACAACAACAGTACATAGCAATTTAAATGATTTACTTGTTTTCTAAGAGTGCTGAGGGCAGTAAGGTTACCTGGAACATGAGTGCAGGGCTTGATACGTAGCTTTTATAGAGGCGTTTATTAATAACTTGTTATTCTTATCATCTCAATAAAAATTCCAAATTGTAACAAATAAAGCAGCATTCTGGGTAAAATGATATTATAAAACACATTCCTTTGAAAGTTTTCTTTTCCATGTTACTTGTTTTGGGATTTATTTTTAACAAGGGGATTCAATATGTACCTTGACTGATAAAGGTCAAGGGTTCAAGAAACTCAGTCAAAGATGTTATCAGCTGGGAAAGCCATTTCCTCACATCAACACTGATAAAAATCCATCAGAAACCCAGCCAATACCACCCCTGCTCTAAAGGGCAGGAATGACCTTCTTTTGAACGTCATTATAGTCACACATCCCATCAAAGAAAATCTGATCTTGTGTCTCAATTCTTTTAATGTTCTTTAATGACAGATAATTGTCTGCAGAGGCCCCCTTTGCCCAATGCCGAGTGAAGCCTTCACATTTCTGAACTGGACTCAACACTGACTCAGTGTTTTTCAGCACACTTGGGACTGCAGGACAGTAGAATAAATAAACAACGTAACCAGCCCTACAGCCTGTCTTATCTCATCCCTGTGTTCACAGAGATTCTTGAGGGTGGCAATGTTTACAAATTGTTGAAACTTTCTTTCTTCTGCTTCCTGAGCTGGCAAAAACATATCCTGGACAACCGAAGAAATGAGATTACGCAAATTGCTTATCACTTGAGGGAAGCAACTTCTCGTCTCATTGGCCAGCATGTCTCTTTAACAAGTAGTACTGTAATATTTTCAGAAATCTCACCAATTCTCCTTACAGATCTATTAATGTCTTTAGGGCATTTCCTTGCAAATCCCAAGCAGCATGGTCTTAAAAACAAACACAGAACCCACCTTTCAAAAAACCCCAAACCTATACATGCGCATATGCGCATATATATCAGTTGTCAATCCTTCTACCTTAAAGATAATATTTGGGAAGTTACACCCTTTACCTTCCTCCTGGTACAGCAGCAGACCTAAATCTAGTGCTCTACCGACATATCAGACACCAGCCATGAGAGCGTCTTCTCTTATCAGGTATGAAATAAAGGTACTAAGATAAGATTTTTAAGAGAGCAATATCATATTCCTCTCATTCTCACTGACAAAACACATCAGTGACACAGGACTGAGTAGAAACTTATAAGCAAGTTTTACTATTCACGCAGGACACATACCCAAGATTAGATACCTATTACAAAGCTAACCTGCTATTGTAACAAGATTACAACAATATTTTTTTTCCTCAGATACAGACTGAAGAAACTATGTTTCAACATCACTAGGCCACTACCCTGCTTAACTGTATGTATCCTGGGTGAATACCACAACATGCTTACAAACAGGAGGGAAAAAAAAGCAGCCTCTAAACACTCCAAAACCCATGCTGGTACATTCTTAGTCTTTTAAAGTTAGATTTTTCATCCATCAGTACAGACCTCTTGAGGAGCCAGACTTAACGTTAGAAACGTTGTATAGCTGGAGACATGAAACCTAGTATTCTGTCAAACAAATTAGCCTTCAGTCTGAACTAGAGTGGCACTTAGGACAGTTTGTCTCTTGGTCCCACTTTACTGAGTCAACAAATCAGATTTTTCACTCTGAGTTAAGATTTAATTTACTCACCACCAGTTTAAATAGGATAAAAGCTTCTGAATCTTTATTAACCACTTGTACTTTAATATAGCAGTCATCTCTCAATAATCAATAACTAATACAGAAAGGAAAAACAAAGTGTAAAATCTGTAAGCAGGATTTACATCTTAAATGTTGCTCTCTATCTTCCTTGTTATTTTTGTGACTTTATTTTGCTTTTAGTGCAAAAAGTATCCTGATGAAATTCTGTATAATTGGAACACAAAGCCTTTGTGGGGGTAGTGGGGAGAGAGGGGAAAGAACCTGAAATCTATTTAGCCATGTTAATTTAACATGTCATAACTTCTATGTGATAAAAAAAAAGCTAGTAATTGCTTACAAACCACTTCTTATTTGATATTTACTTTTACATTTTTTTACTAAACATATGAGCAAATGCACCATTTTTCATTGATACAACGGATGCCGCCAGTATGGTTTAAGTTATCACCCAGTAATTTGGGCACATTAAACCCAATTCTATGCC